AATATCTAGAGTAGCGTTAGAGGTAGAGTTTGGCCTGCATTAGAGGGAGCGTTGCCAGCAGGTGGATATTCCAAACCTGCCTGTGGAATGTGCTCCAGGTGTCCCTGCTTGAGCAGGGGGCTGGGCTGGATGATTTCTCGAGCTCTCTTCCAACCTCAGCCATTCTGTGATCTACTTCTGCAATTCCTCTGAACATAGATGGGGCAGAAGCACCCCCCATCTGCACCATGCCTGGAGTAGCCTCTTGTTGCCCTCATAGCAGGACTGTTTCAGCACGAGGTTTTATCTAACTGAAAACAAAGCAAAACAAAAAATCCAGCTTGCTCTGTTTAGCCTGACTAAATTCTTGAAGCACCAAAATCTGAAGGGTATCCATATAAGGACTTATGCGTAGGTTCTGGAGCCTATAGTGTGCTCAACAGCAGCTAAACTTTCAACTCTCTCAGCTATCTCCCTTCGTTTCCTCAGAAGGCACATTCCACAGGCAGGTTTGGAATATCCACCTGCTGGCAACGCTCCCTGGTAGCCTGGCATGGTTCATCATGAGCTTGTGGCATTTTTTGCACTGTGCTTGGCCCTATTAGAAGCAGCATTTTAGGAATCCTAATCAGCTAGTTGGCAGATTCAGCAAGAGATAGGGCCCCTCTTTCCTTATCAGTTAATTTCATAGTGCCCCTGGGCAGTAACAATGAGCCAAACTGTATGTGGCCCAAGGAAGGACTCAAACAATATAAAGCCATGTCAAGAAATCATGCAAAAGCAAACCGTTCTCTTCTTGTAACCTAGGAGGTTGAAAATTAATAGATTTAATTAAACAAAAATTAAAACTGATCTTCTGTGTGTAGTTTACCTTTGTGAAAGGTTACAATGCTTTGCAAGTTCAGAGCACTGGACTCTGAACAGCTGAGGACTTGGCTAACTGCACCAAGGTGTAGAGCAACATTTACTGTGTGCAATTATTGTGTGGGGAATTATGTGTTCAAGCAGAAATCTCTGCCAAGTACAAACTGTCAGCTGTAAAAAGGAGGTACTTTGTGTTACAAATGATTCTAGGTGGAAAAATGACTGTAGAGAAAATAGTGACTTTTTTATTACCTGGGGATCTTCTTCTAAGATCAAGTTCTCTTATCAACCCAAGTGGTTTAGAGATGAAGAAACTTTTGGGGAATTCCTTCTCTTTGGACTTTGTGTTGTGCTCTTAAGCTGTTCACAGATTGACACAGAATGACATGTTTTTCTCTGGCGGTGCTGCTCTTTTCGGTGTACTCACATTTCCATAATCACGTCATCCACTTTGTATGGTCCTGTTCCACAACTATAGTTGCACTGGACTCAAAATATGCAAGATCTGCTATGTATCCATTGAAAAATATATTTACTGACATTCCTCACCAATGTATCCTGCAGACCCTCAGCCTTACTTTGACCATAATTCCTTCCTAAGCTAAACAAATTTTCTTACATCTGTTGTGTTCCTACTGACCAAAGAGTTTGAGAGGATTCCCATGCCTCTCCTTCCTCCAAGTTCTTCAAATCTGGTCTTTCTTCTTTTCTTATTATTATTCAATTTATTTGGATTCTTTCTTTATTTATTATATTGTCTGTACTTATTACTACAACCCTTCAGGGTTACAAATCTTTATCAATATTCCCCAAAATCAAAATTTCCCCAAACTTGCCAAAGTAAGGAAAGTGTTCCAAGTTGTCCCTGAGAGAACAGTTTGACCCAAGCACTCTTCTCTCACTGAGAGAACAGTTCAATTATTCAATTCAACACATGCTTCCTCACTGAAAGCAAAATTTCAAATACGGCTCTCTTGTCTTCTTGTACATTTTCCAGAATCTCTGAATTGGTGATGACATTGCTTGCCAACAAGAAGAAACAGACCAATTAGTGAAAATATGATTTTTTCAGATTCCACATTCTAATACTGAAAGAATTATTAGTCTCTACATTTCTAAACTGAGCAGATTCTTAATTCCTTTTAAAAAAAGAAAATATTCCATTAAAATTAAATCTATTTCCAGAAATCAAAGTATTTAAGTAATCCTTAAGTAACAATAAAAAAAATATTTACTAAAGACCTGTATTTCAGGATTATTCCGTTTTATGAAATTCAGAGACTTGGAGGTAAAATATATTTTTCACAGTTTTATGCTATTTTCTCAGTTCTATTTTGATCCTTCCGGTAGCCTGCGCTGGTAGCAACTAGATAACAGAAGATAATAAATCGGGTAGCGCAATCCCTGCTCAAATGAGGAAAGCTCTAGCAAAAGTCTGAATGTGAGCAGAAGGACTGGTTTTCCTTTTCCTACTGGCAAGAGCAGCAGTGTGGACTCTTAGGAGTAAAATGCTAACCATATTTAAAAACGTCACATGCTACATTGCAATGTTTAAGGATTCTTATACGTACTCTGTCAAACGAGCACAGCCCCTAGATTGGAGAGAGATTAAATGAAAACTCATCATCCAGCAGCGGGAGTTTCTAACACTCCTGAGAGCACAATTTTTGAAGGACACATGTAGAAAGATCCGTAAGCTCAGCTCCCATTAGTATCTTTGCAGCATTAGACAGCAAATCTGAAGTACTCCTGCCAAGCAGGGTAAAGCAATTCATAAAGCTCACAGTGAAATTAGATTATGAATTTTGGGCAATATCTATTTTATAAGACATTTAAAAGAAGACAGGATAGAGAGGGATCTAACAAAAGACACAATGCGAAGAAACTGTTTTCACCCTAAGATGCCTTCTGGAGATGAGCCATGGGATCCTGAATTTTTCTACAAGAACCAATTGCATTTGGGCTTGCATCCATGTTATCTCAGGAAATGGCCTAGTTGTCAAAGGCAAGTGACTTCTAATAGCTCCAGTGGAGGACTTTGTCCTCCTCTATAAATCAGATACTGGGCATGCTCCAAAAGGGAGGCTGAGATTCCTTTACTCAAAATGTGCCGCCAGAGTTAGGGACCTAGCTGCTCCTTTAGGAAGAGACAACAGCTTCGATCTTCTACAACATGCCTGGAGAAGGTGTTGCTCCCCCCGAGGTGGGTACCACCTTCTCCTCCTATCCTAAAATAAATAAATAAATAAAGCTGTGCACATCCTCAGGAGAATACTTGTGTTCTTGCTCCTCAAGGGAGCATCTCACGTGAGATGAAAAGCCCCGGATGCTACACGTTCAGATCCACCTCTGTGCTTAACTTTTCCTCCAGCCAGACCCATGCTCACTGCATCATGCTTTGGAGCACCAACATATCTTCACTGGGCTTCTGTGCCTCCTTTTGCCTACAAACCTGAACGTGTCATTCTGAATCAGGCCCTTCACACTTCAGCTGTCATTTTGCTGACAAGAGATAAGAATATTTTTATCCTGTGTCTTGTTTATTTAAATGGCAAACATTTAGATCAGAAGTGTCTCTCACTGTGTGCGTAAATCTTATAGAGCAGCAAGGGACATTGAACAGGAGCTCTAAACACAGCAAAACTAGCAGCAAAACTGTATATCCTATGTAAAAATAAATTTTCAATTGCTATTGTTTAAATACAATTTTCCATGCACTTTTTCTCTATTGCAATAGACTAGCTATAAAATCCCCGAGCGTTTAAACTAGATGACATGGCTAAGAAAAATATTTCTGTCTCTGAGAACTGAGATAACTTAGGCTATGTAACAGAATGGGATAAACTGAATATGCAGAAACTCATGGAGCCAACTTTCTACACAGATTAAATCATTAAAAATGCCACCACTGCATTACCAATGCCTAGTCATAACTGTACTGTTTCTAATGGGATATTAAGCTTTTGTTATGTTACTGTCTTCGGCTACAAAAACCTCCAGCTGCATGAAGGGTTGGGACTCAGTGTGCTCTGGTGAGCAAGTTGGGATCTATGAGCTGCCATTATTAGGAGTTATTAATTTGTCTCAGAGCCATGACAACAGCTAAAATATGTGAATTTGCTTCATTAAAAAGAACTGTAAGCAACTGATCATTGTTTTCAATTGCTAGGAATAATCATATTGGGACTTTTATGGCTTTCCTAACTGTGTACTTCTTACTCAAGTTCCTCACTATAGAAATCACTAATCTTGAGGTCTAATGTACGTATGTGGCTATGTTGCCCCTTACAATTGTATCTTGTTATTCAAGCAAGTTTGCTACACAAACACGCTAGTTCAGCCCAGTAGTAAGATCACTCTGAGCTCTAACACCAATGGGTGCTGTAGGAAAGGTCACTCTATATGTCCCAATTTTTCACTTTCAGGTCTTTCTATTGTGTTTTGCTTTTTGGTCTGTGAAAAAACGAGTTCACAGCATCTAGCACAGTAGAACCCTTAAGGTTCAACTTCCCTCCAGCCTGATTCACGTGGAACATGTTGCCTTTCCCCTGCCACCCCGACCTCCAACAGATGCTTGTAGGAAATAACTGAAGTCCAAAGGCAAATCACACCATGATTCTCCCACAGCAGGATACAGGTGTTAGTGCTCACAGCAGAAGCTTTTGTTTGACGATATAGGTTTGACAGATTACAAAGTTTGTGACTCCTGAGCCTGGCCAGACATCCTCGGCCCTGCCTTTGGGTCAGACACTCCCATCCAATAATCTTCCCGTTTTAGTAAAAGGATTACCAGATATTTTTTTTCTTTTTAGTATCCTTTCATTTTAAAAGCTAAGGCAAAATGAAGTAAATGAATATATTTTGCTATGGATTCCACACAGACATATAAACCCAGGATAAACTGTAATTGCTTTAAAAAAAAGATTTATCTCTCCCTCAGACAATATTGTTATGTCCACTTTCTAATCTTTAATTGGATGTCTGAGTTAGCACATCGATAACTTGGCTCACTATCAATTTAATTCTGTTTTGACTGCTGACAAAGTAATTGCACCATTTGACATGGGAAAGGACAGGCCGAGGAAGCTGAAGTAATTTGATTCTAAAACATATTGTACATTAAGATGCATTGTTGATTGGTACAAGGACATACTTACTGTGGTCCAACTGACCTGCTGACCCAGGTCTGTAAAATACAACGTGATAATGGAAGAAACTGCAAGACTTTGAATGCTAATGGAATCCTTCAAATAGGGCCCATCTGTAATAATAAAGAGGCAAAAGGAAGTGGCATGAGCAATATATATCCTCTCAGCGAGTCAGCTAAACTGTAGCCTGCACAACTAATGGTCAAGGAGTTAGAACTTTTTGTGCCTTAGTGACTGTGCCTTAAATGTGAAGCAGACAACTTCTACTCTGATTATTTTGGGTAACTTGCCTCTTCTGCTCTGAGTGAGAGCATTTGTGTAGCAGTCACCCTCTCCTCACCATAACAAAAGCACCAGGTTGCCATGACACTGGGCAGCCACACACAGCACGGGTTATGAGGCTGTATCTGCTAACCTAGACCATCTGAGACACAGCATGCAAGACACACATAGCTGCTATGCAGCGTCATTATATGCTCCGGTATTATTTTCTGAGCACGCATGACCAGGCTATTTTACGATAAGTGGCACCACAGTGATGCAAGCAGCCTTTTCCTGGGCGAAGGCTCACAGCCCACAGTTTGGATGTCAGCTGGCTGACCCAGGCAGACCGGCTGTGCCTGAGCAGCACAGAGCCCTTTCTACAGTGTTCTGAGTCATTTGCTTCCAACTCTGTCAACCCAAAGTGTACAAGGAACAGCATCAAATGACAATGTCTACTTCCCTTTTTGCAAACAGGCAGTGAACTGGGTATTATTGGGTATTAGGAAACCTTGGCAGTCCCTGACATGGGGTATTGCCATGGCCATAACACTTCTTTCTCTTTTTCACTTCACAGAACGTCTCCCTTTTGATATATGTCCGTTCACTGCTTATGTCAGTGAGGGTGCTAAATCACACCAGGGGCTGAGTCCTAGAAACTGAGTCCTCCATTCCCAGGGCTCTGCAAAGCTGTCTGGAATGCCACAGGGTCTCCGTTGTGGAGTCTCCTTCTCTGGAGATCTTCAAAACCCGCTTGGATGCAGTCCTGCGCCACGTGCTTTAGGTGTCCCTGCGTTTGCAGGGGGGTTGGACTAGATGATCTCTAGAGGTCCCTTCCAACCCTAAGCATTCTATGATTCTATGATTCTATGATTAGCTCCAACTCACATTTCCGCATCTGCCAAGAGCTGGCGAACTGGCTGTCTCCTGCAGCCGCTTGTCTTCTAATGAGGCTTTCTGAACAAGGATCACAACTGACAGTGCAGTTAAGGGGATTTTCCACAAATGGTATTACATTTATCAACTGCCCTGTCTTCATTATTTCATAAGATGCTCTATTCTGAAACAATTTTACATGTGGTAGATATGAAAATCATCAGATTCCTTTATTGATGTGGATGTTAGCAGGTTGATCACAGATATCAACTAACGATAAAATGCTAATAACTTATATAAAGGGAGTAACATAATTGGGAGGAAAAGGCTAGTAATATGTTAGATGTTTGACATGCATATGAATACTTACTGCGTTCCAGTTGCAGGCCAACACGGGAAGGGTACCACTGCGGACCTGGTCAAATCATAAAGCATTACGGTTAATTTCATGGTGGAGGACCTGAATTCACCTTTTTAATTATTAATTTTACTTTATTTATTTATTTAAATAGTTGCAAATGTGAGCTGAAATTCCTTTTGTGAGCCTCAGCTATATGAGGCAAGGACAAGAGAAATAGGAGACCACAGTATGTATAAGTTGGAGCAGAAATCCCTTTTTCCCATTCTTGAGTGTTGAATGGGTTAATTTCAATGCTGACTACTCCATCAAAGCACGAAAAATGCAGTGTGGTCTGCAAATGCCCAATTTGCATGGGATAATTGCCGCTAGGTATTACATAAAGAGAGAACCCTGTTTATTTTTTTTTCAAAAACTCTATGTTAAATGTAGTCAGTCCACCTGGCACCAATTGCTTTTTCTACAGTCCAAGCCAAATGGTTTGCTCTCTTTCTGTCAGGGAACAAAACCAAACTCATCCAAAACCAAACTTTTTCAGTGAAATTTGATCAGAGGAAAGGAAGCAGATGCCTTCCTCCTCCTATAAAAAAAGTCTTCTCATGTGCAGCTCTTGATTGATTAGTCAATTTTTTTCATTCTTATCATTCAAATACTGTTTTTGTTCTCATTTCCCCTGGCTGAAAAATCCACTTTTCCATTGGAGGGAGGAATAAAGTCAGTGCTACTAAGGACTTCATTTTTTCCCCCTGAAACACAGGAGGACAGAAACATTTCAGCTTGAATTCTGAGGTTGCACCCACATTCTTGCACCTAAGGAAATTTCCCCATTTGGATTTTTTCCTGAGATTACTGTAATGATTCTATGTAGGGTGAGAGGAAAAGTATTCATCCAGAAAGTGTGTCTATATCTGGGTATGTCCCAATAGCCCTCTACAGCCAAATACTGGAAAAGGTTGGAACTGCCTCTTCAAAATGCTGCCCAGGCAAATACTTCTTAGCAAATATATAGCAAATGATTTAGACTGCAAACAATGAGTTGGCAGCTTGTTAGTAAAGCTGTAAAGACACAACTCCCATTTAGGAATATAAAGGACACACGGCTAACACTACTCCTAACCTACCCCTAATCAGGGATACTTTCTTAATAATCCCATAAAATAGCCAAAAGCAACAGAAAAAGCAGAGTCTTTGGGTAGCTAATACTGCATGAGAGTATGTATTATTTCCCTTATACCCATCAAGATAAGGATGTTTCCTAAAAGCAGCCTTCTATGTAGTTTAAAGGTTGTTTCTAACCACTACAAAGCAGCTGGCAGTTGTTGATAGGTGTCCCTTTCTGATGGAGGATGGAGACCCATTAATGTGTTTGAAGAGGGACAGCTCCCCAGCTGTCCCTTAGGTGCTACAGCAGGTCTGCAGAAGCAGACATGGTCACTCAACCTGTTAGCTTGTCCAGCTGTTTGTTGTGCTTCTACATAGGAGCCCTTCCAGATATGCCTAGAAAGGCTGTAGGATCAACATTCTTGGAGAATTCAAAACTCAAATGGAAAAGATTCCAAATAATCTTATATAGCTTTAAGGTTATATATAACATATCTGAGAGGGACACAGCACAATGTCACTTCAAAAGCACTCAGGGCCAGGGTAAGTTCTGTAGGCAAGACTGGGCACTGAATGAACCTGCGCAGCAGGCTTTTAGCAGGAGGGAGGGAACCTATCCATGAAGCCACAAATATATTTTCAAGGCACCATGACAATGTGTGGCTATTAAAGATAACAAAATGAAACTAGAGAAAGAGCAGCTGTCTGACTTGTCAGGGAAGATGTGATTTGCTGCAGGACTGCAGGTATTAATAGTCATTTGGGAGCCTGAAATGCCATATCCTTGTGTTAAATTGGAACCTTCCCCCTATACCCCATATGATAGTATGTTTCAATAAAAGCCAATTTACCTGATCCTGTGGCAGTGTGCTTTAAGGCATGGCTTGCAATCTTCACAAGGTCATGTGTTCTGGCACATCTGTATTTAGGCACGTCATCCCACATTTTCAGTGCTTTAGCCTCAGTATGCTGTTATTTGTGAATGTTTTGAATGTTATTTTTGAATACTCAAAGATTTAGGTATATGGAAGTCTGCACTCTGGCTGCCGCTCATTTGTGACAAACTTGGTCAAGACACTCCACCACTCTCAGTCCCTGGTCCCCAGGCCAGCCTTGGGCTTCTGTGTGTACTTTGCTGGAGGGACCTGGAATTAGCTGTTAGGATGTGCTTCCTCTCAGTGTTTAATTGGGGCTGGTGGGACGTGCTGTGGGGCTTAATAATATTCATAGAAATGCTATGCCAAAGGCATAGTAGAACTCCTTTCTCTCTGCAAGTGCAGTGGTTTCAGTGTGAACAGAAAGGTCTCCCACTCTCAGGCTTTACCGGTAAGCAGAGTTTGGCTAAGCTGCTCTCAAGTCTTAGCACTCATTGCAGAGATGTAGCTGCAGCTGCATGCAGCATTTGAAGCCCTTTCTGCATTTCCATTTCTAGTGAAGCTCTCTTTGTTTCATATTTTCCTAATTTTTCTTTTTTTTGAATAGGATTTACTTCCCAGTTAATTCACTAGCACTCTTGGTGCCTTCTGCAGAGATTAAATGGCAATGCAGGTGCGTAGGTGACTGCTGCTTACCTTGCAACTCTTGAGAAGCATCAAATCAGGCAGGTATCTAGACTTATTTACAAGTATTATAATATTATAATTGTTATAATTATATTATAATATTTACAAGTATTACAGCAGGGCATCCAAGCTCAGCCATGAGCTCTGCATGGCGCTCAGTAGATTATATTCCTCTAGGTAGTCCCTTCTGTGTTCTTTGGATCCCTTACGCAGCTGGTCTTGGTTTCGGATACGCATTTCACACTTGGAACTTGGAAAGCTGTAAAAACAGCTACCAGTTCAGCACACACAGCTCTCATATGGTTTTTGACTTGAAAAAAAGCAGGTGCAGGCTGTCCAGAACATAAGAATGGGCAAGATGGTTCAAAGCAGGGACCTACTTACCCACTATTATGTCCCTCCAACAGCAGCCAAGTTTCTGATAATGCCTAATATAGCAGCATCTTCATTTAGTGACAGGTGTTGTAATTCCTCCACTATATTTCTAGGATTTCTAGCATTTGTGTAGAATAATGTTTTTTTTTTTCAATCTGCTTAAATAGCTACCAAAATGGCTTATTTTTCCATCTCCTATTTGGTTATTTCTTTCCTCTTATTTTTCACTTGAGGGTACAGAAAGTTTGTTTCCATGTCTTTAAATCCACTACCCTCAACTGCATTCCCTGCATGTAGGTACACACCTGAGAGCTTTCCTCATTCCTCATCTGAAAGGCACAAATCATCATCTCCTGTGTGTAAAAGGTTTCCTAATTCATGATTAGTCTTAAGCCTTTTACCTTATTCCATCTTCTCAGCCAGAAAATTGTTAGACCTTTGTGAAATATTTCAGCCCCAAACAAAAAAAAAGCTGTTCATTATAGAAAAACAGTGAAAATATTTTAAAGTTATAACCTAAAGCATATTAATTTTCAACACAAGATGATCAGTTCAATCGCAGGAATTCAGGACAGTTTTAAAAGCCCATATAGAGTTTTAAAAGCTCCCAAGGGTTCTTCTTATCCACATGATTCAAATTGACCTTAGTGTATTCTCCACAGCTTTAATACCAATAGGTTTTGAAAATTTAACAAACAGCTAAGAAATCTATATACTAGGTATTTTCCAATTGTTATGTAATTGAATGGATCCCTCTAATTTTTATTGTGTTTCATAAAGAACCTTTTATGAAAGTCTTTAGTGCACTGTCTCCTTTATAGCAAATTATATGATCAAATACCCATTTGTTACAAGGTCTTTATGAAGCTGAGTCAAGCTGCATGGGGGCAAAGGCAAAACATAACCAAGATAAATTAGACATGTTCCTTTATATGCAGCCCTGCAAAAGCTATTCCTCCAGGGAATGAGGACTCTAAGAAATGCGAAATGGAGCTGATGGACAGTGTTTGTAGGTAATTAGCAGACTGACTTTCCATGAATGGCTAATTTTATTATCAGGTAAATTGTTTGTTTCTCATTGTATTTCACCACTCATGCATCTCTAAGAACAAACAGGCTTAATAATTACAAGCAGTACCTGCTGTGATATGAATCCAGTGATATTAACAACAAAATTACTGTAATTAATCATCAGCAGCATGTTGTGAAAATCTGCAGAAATATAGGAAATTCTGGGTAACACTGTGGCACCAACATCCCTTATATGATCACAAAAGCTACACATAGCTGAGAAATGTAACAGCACTTGCTCATGTGAACTGAGCCTCGATTAACTATATTCTGCTACCTTAAACCACATTACAGATTTGATATTTGATATGCAGCAACAAAATGAGGTAGTTAGGAAAGATTCACCTAATTCTGTGTATAGGGAAGCTGTTTTCTGGTGTAATATATAGAGACAGACATTGCTCTAACATAAATTATCTGAAAACTAACTTGCCAAGGTCTTTCCTTGACAAGTGGATGCTGAGCAAATAAAGTTATGCTGTGTCCATGACCTTAAACAGCTACAGCTAGAAATGTTGTTTTCTTGGTGTTAACATATGTGTTCTCAGGACCACTTCTGAGAAACCAGGAACAGATGGAGCTATCACGGTGCTGACAGTCACATCCTTTGCTGGACTGAGTTTGCCTAACCTGAGCGGGCAGCAGGAGAGCAGAAATGCTGAAATGACTTAAAGCTCCTGCTTTCATTTTGGGGAAGGCCAACACAACAAAACAACCAATGAGCAAACAAACAAACAAACAAAACTGTGGGATTTCCTGGTCTGACAGGGCTAACATTGCCATTTCAGTGGTTCCTGAGCATGACAACAGAGCAAACCCAAGCTGCCATAGTAAAGCTGAGCTGGGGCATGAGAGAAAATACCTGGTTTCTCCTGTGCTGGCCTGCAAATGGCAACCCCTGGGCAGTGACATCTGAAGAGACCACTCCGGATGCCTTCCTGGGCGTCT